CAAGTATACAGTATCGCATTTTGTAGAACAATGGTTCCGGATATCGATCCACAGGGACCTTGTAGATTCAGATGCTGAGTAGTGTAATTATATTATCGTTATATTATCTAGCCGGTCGTAAATATTTGGAATGGTGAGAAACCCTAATTTAAAAGCATGCAAGATCGTAAACATGCAAATATAGGATGTACGTAAATAAGTAACGACAACTCAACGCGGGGGGACTTCAATTTAAAAGGGACTTCTAGGGCCAAATCCACCTATGTATAATCAACAACGATCTACAAATCCGTTATCTAAAATCACATTCCTATTCGTTAACCCAGACGCTAATGTACTCTAACCCCCATCTCCAGTGTAGTTAGAGCCTACCCACAGGTCCGACGTCTCCGTTCAGAACCTGCTATTAAGAGAGCATTTAGGTCAAGTCCTTAAGGGCTACCCGAAGTGCATCACGTCTCCGTTTCCACACCCCGAGCTATGTTTTCCTAACTTCAAACAAGAAATCCTCTCTCGAGTTCATTCCTATTTAATATCAATCCGAGAGCTAATCAAACAATCAGAAGCATTTAATACAGGAAAACATAAACGAAATCAAAACACGGCAAATAGATAACACAAATAACGATCGAAATCAATATATACAAGGCTTCATTACCCTAGAAGAAAATGTTCTTAGTTCATAACAAACATAGAGTCAAAAGAATGTACAAAGGAAATGAAGAACAAAACGTAAAGAAATTGCGTAAGAAAAACCCAAGTCGAAACCCCCGTTGATGATTCCCGCGAAGAACTGTCGAAAACCGTAAAAAGTCGAAGAAAAAAGAAGAATGAGGGCTTGCTTCTATTTATAGTAAATTGCAAAGCTTCCTCAAGAAGCTTTGCTTTTGAAAATATCTGCCCTCGAAAATCGTGCCAGATCGCGATCCAATAAAGTAAGATTGCGATCTGGCTTCTCGTAAAAACGTGTACCGCCATCCCAGATCGCGATCTTGGAAGTGCGGATCGCGATCTGCCCCAAAATCTCGATGCTACTGGAATTTATCACCAGATCGCGATCCGACTTTCCTGGATCGCGATCTGGGTCTGAAATTGCTTGCTACTGGAATTTGCATCCAGATCGCGATCCGAAGTTCCTGGATCGCGATCTGGGTCTTAATGACCACTTTCTCGGCTTGAATAATCGGTTTCACTTCCAAATGGCTTCGACTTGGCAAAAAGAGCTAACAAAACCTAAAAAAGGAAATAAAACAAGAAATGCAATAATATATACAAATAAAACCGAAACTCGGACGGACGAAGACCAAAACTCGAAGATTTGAAAAGCAAAAATCGTGCAAAACGAACACTTATCACACCCTCAAACTTAGATCTTTACTCGTCCTGAGTAAATCAAAACAAAACTACAACAAAAATGAAAAAAACACAACAAACTAAACTAGGCCACTAACGTAGGGAAACACGGTTGCATTTAGCGTATGCAACAAGCGGTTGAACCCCTGGGTACCCCCAAAGGACGAGTTGTGTCTCGTGAGGGTTTTCAGACAACACACCCACAAAGTTGCCGGATTGGTCAAAGCATTGCAATCAATTCCAAAGATAAAACGAGCTATATAACTTAAAATCTTAGAATGGTATACGGCTTAAGGTATTCGACTTTCCTACCGACGCAATTAGTTGTTTCTACACAAAAATGAAAGATAGACTCAAGAATCCGTAATTAAACAATAAACACAATTATCGAGGGTTTTGAGTAGAAATGTGGGTGAAAAGTAAGTTTTGATTCTGAAATTCAAAAACTCGAGTTGGGCATAAGTAGGTCTATTTATTCAATAAGAAATAACAACAACAATATTTTTGGTGACTTTCATCACAATTTTTTCCTCTTTTTTTTTTCTTATTATCTTTTTTTATTTTTTTGAAACGGGCATTATCGTGACTCGTGCAAGGCTCGACACCACTGTGTTATCTCCCTGACCCATGTATTTAACTTTTGTCCAAGAAACCCCCAAGCTCGATAGCTCGAGAGACTTAGGCGACGAGGTGCACCCAACGGGTCAAGCTCAAGTCACAAAGGCGGGGAAATCACAGCGTGAATCACAACAATACCACAAATTATTTTTATTTTTTTTTAATCATCAATAACATAAAATAAAAACGTAAAGACCATTAATCGAACTTTTAGCCAACAAATCAAGTCGTGAACACATAATTCAATTCTAACTCGCCCCCCAAACCTCAGACTATTATACCCCTCAGAAAAGTGCGCTCAAGATTAATCGGAAAGGATTCGGAAGGCTATCCACACAAGTTGCAAAAACGCAGTCGGAAGGTACATCTATAATTAGCCAGTTATCCATAATTTTAATTTTAAAACAACTAGTCCATCTACTGATTCATTAATTGCTTTGCTTCAATAGAATCCGAAAATGCAACTTACACTCGATCCTATATGAAATGCATGCGACAAACATAACACAATTACGGGAATCGAAATACAAAAACGAAACTAAATTATATGATATGCATGCAAAAGACCAAATCAAAATAAGATAAATAAAATAAAATAAAATCAAAGTCTAGCGAAGATACATCGTAAACGAAATATCAATCCAACGACTTAACAAAAACAAACAAACTAAAAACAAACAGGTTCAACACATACCACCCTCAAACTCAAACCCTAGCATAGTCCATATGCTCAAAAGCAAAATAAAAAATAAAGGGATAGAAAACACAACGTCCCCTAGTTGTCTTGATCGTCCTCGTTGGTTCCTCCCTCCTCTTCTTGTCGTCCCCGCTCGTGCTCCTCCCAGGCCTGTGCCACCAGTGTAGTGGCTGCCGCTTGTGCTGGTTCGTCAGCGGTGGAGGTTGATGCTCCGTCATATCGAGGCTATGGTGGGAACGGCCGTGGCTCGACAATGTCATCGGTCCTGCACTGAAGCGCTCCAGCCATGGCCTTCATCATTTTCTTGAACCATCCCACATTTTCCTCCATAACATCCATCCATTTGCCGACATACTCTGGGAGCTGTGGTTCTGCTTCTTGTCTGCCTCTTCTGCCCCTTTGTTCTGGTCGAGTTGCATGAATATCTGAGGGACCTGCATCTGGTAAGTCTGTGTCTCCCTCGCCTAGGGGTCCACTCACTTGCTGGAGCTTGTGGTAAGGGAAGATAGGCTGTGGTGTCCTTCTTTGCGAACAAATATCGAATAGCTGCGTGGTCGGTGTAAATGATCACCTGAGAGCCCAAAATATACGGTCTGAACTTGTCAACGGCATAGACAACTGCAAGAATTTCTTTTTCGGTCGTTGAATATTTCTTCTGTGCCTGGTCAAGTGTAGGACTGGAATAGTAGATGGCCTTGAAGATTTTGTCCCTCCTTTGTCCCAATATTGCACCTACAGCATAGTCGCTCGCATCACACATGATCTCGAATGGTTCCTCTCAATTGGGAGTAATCACAATCGGTGACTGGGTTGGCTTCTCCTTGAGGAACGTGAAAGCCTGCAAACAAGCAGAATCAAAATCAAAGACGGCTTCCTTCTCAAGCAAATGACATAATGGTTTTACTATTTTCGAAAAATCTTTAATGGATCTACGGTAAAACCCAGCATGCCCTAAAAAACTTCTAACACCCTTGACATCTTTTGGTGGAGGCAATTTTTCAATCATTTCGATTTTTGCCCTGTCCACCTCAAGACCCTTATTTGAGACCTTGTGACCTAGAACAATACCTTCACGAACCATAAAATGACATTTTTCCCAATTTAAAACAAGGTTCATTTATGTACATCTTTTTAAAACAATTTCCAGATTGTCCACACAATGATCGAAAGACGATCCAAACACAGAAAAATCATCCATAAACACCTCAAGAAATTCTTCTACCATATCATGAAAAATAGACATCATACATCGTTGAAAGGTAGCAGGCGCATTACACAAACCGAAAGGCATTCTACGAAATGCAAAAGTACCGTAGGGGCAAGTAAAAGTAGTTTTCTCTTGGTCTTCCGGGGCGATTGAAATTTGATTGTACCCCGAATAACCATCAAGAAAACAGTAATACTCGAAACCACCTAGTATGTCTAGCATTTGATCGATAAAGGGAAGGGGGAAATGGTCTTTCCTAGTGGTTGCATTCAATAGTCGGTAATTGAAGCATACACGCCACCCAGTGACTGTTCTAGACGGAATAAGTTCATTTTTATCATTCACAATAACCGTCATCCCACCCCTCTTTGGCACAACCTGCACCGGACTGACCCACGGACTGTTAGAAATTGCATAAATCATACCAGCGCCTAACAGTTTTAAGACTTATTTTTTTACTACCTCTTTCATTGATGGGTTTAACCGCCTCTGAGGTTGGACTCTCGGTTTATAGACGTCTTCCATTAGAATTTTATGTTGAACAATAGATGGGCTAATTCCCTTAATATCCTCAATAGATCAACCTATAGCCGACCTATATTCTCTAAGGACCTCCAACAGTGTGTTTGTTTCGGCCTCGCTCAGACTAGAAGAAATAATCACCAGATAAGTCTTGTCTGCTCCAAGAAAAGCATAACAAAGATAATCTGGTAATTGTTTCAATTTCAGTACGGGGGCCGTTTTCACACTAACTGGTATCTCGAGGACGATTCCTACCTTGTATATACCTAAAATCTCAGCACATTCAAGAAACAACACACGGTCAAGCACATCATTTTCAATAGGCGTTTCAGGGGAGGCAGAATGCAAATCAATAGAATTAACAATGCAGTGCTCAACAGAATCACATAATTTATATATATCAAAAAAGGAGGAAACACAGTCCTCGATCACGTCTATTGTACTGCAATGCTCAACATGCTCAGAGTGTTTAAATGCATCTATCAAATTAAAAACAACTTCTTCCCCATTTACCCTAAGTATTAAAGATCCTAATTCCATATCAATCATCGCCTTACCAGTGGCTAAGAATGGACGACCTAAAATGATTGGTGCTTCATCATCTTAAGGAATTTCAAGTACCACAAAATCAACAGGCAAAATGAATTTATCTACTTTAACTAGCACATCTTCTACAACCCCATCGGGATATTTCAATGAGCGATCAGCTAGTTGTAAAGTCATGCGAGTGCGGTTCAAATTTCCTAAGCCCAGTTTTAGAAACACAGACATAGGCATCAAATTAATAATTGCCCCCAAATCACACAAAGCTTTATCGAAAGTAGAATTTCCAATAATACAAGGAATAGTGTAACTCCCTGGATCTTTCATTTTTGGTGGTAGATTCGACTGAAGAATGGCACTGCACGTTGCCGTGAGTATCACTGGTATGTCTTCCTCGATCCGAATTTTCTTGGATAGGACTTCCTTCATGAACTTGGTGTAGTTTGGCATTACCTCCAAGGCTTCTGCAAAAGGGATGTTGATTCGAATTTGTTTGATCTTTTTGATGAACTTCTTCAATTGATCCTTGAACTTCTTCTTCTTCTGTCTTTCTGGAAAAGGAATAGGAGTTATCTTAAGAGGGGGATTATCAGGAAAAGAAATGTTATTGGGCTTACTAGCCTCTTTTGTACTACTCCCTCAAATGGTGATGTCCGGCTCGACCGGGGTCGGTTGTACAGCTGGCCTTGGTGACTCGTCTGTCGGATAAGGAGGATCGGTCATTTGCAAACCACTTCGGGTGGTTATGGCTTGACAACTTTCTTTTGGATTGACTTCGATATTGCTCGAAAATCCACCCTTGGCCATTGTGGACATGGATTGGGCGATTTGCCCTATTTGTTTTTCCATGTTCTTCATTGTTGACTTCAGACCCTCCATCTTCCGTTCTTGTCGGTGAAGACGCTCGTCATACGTTGGCCCTCGTTGCTCTCTTTGATGGTTAAAATCGGGAGGTGGTTGTAGAGCATTCTTTGGATTGGCAGAGGAGAAGTTCTCGTGATTCCGAATTCCCGGGTGGTAATGAGTAGGGTTTTGGTTCTGATTGTTGGTTCCCCGGAAATTGTTGAATCGGTGGTTCATAAAGTGTGCCTGCTCCCAATCGTCGTTTGTGGCTTGCGAAGTACTTGCTGCTGCTACTCGTTCGGTTTGTGGCCCTCGAACTGATAATTGGGCGACCTGATTTGATAGGGTCGCTAATTGTGCTGAAACCGCGGCTAAAGGATCGAGTTGGTGGATTTCGGCCACCTTTTGTATACCACTTCGTTCGGACGGCCAATGGTAAGCATTCTCACACATTCGCTCGACGATGTCTCGAGCATCTGTGGGAGTCTTGTTTTGCAATGATCCACCTGAGGCAGCATTGACTAAAGACCGGGCTGGTTGATCGAGCCCATTGTAGAATAAATCCATTTGATCCCACGGGTTGAATCCGTGTTGAGGGCATTGTTGTAATAAGTCCTTGAATCTCTCCCAAGACTCGTGCATCGGCTCTTGGCTCATCTGTCTGAAGTTGCCTACATCTCTTCGTAGTGTGCGGTCTTCGAAGGTGGAAAGAATCGTGCCAGAAAGGCTTGTGATAATTCTTCCCAACAGGTGAGTGATCATGGATTAAGACTCAGAAGCCAACTCTTCGCTTTGTCTCTAACAGAAAATGAGAATAGCTTCAATCGAATGGCATCATCAGAAACACCATTAACTTTGATCGTGTCACAAATCTCCAAGAAATTGGCAAGATGGAGATTCGGATCCGCAGTGGCTGCTCCTGAGCCAAGAGCAGATAATTGGTAACACTATCAACAACGATAAAATCAAATTGGTCCCCGGCAACGGCGCCAAAAACTTGATACGCGTTTTCCTCACGTATAAATTACTGCAAGTATACAGTATCACATTTTGCAGAACAGTGGTTCAGGATATCGATCCACAGGGACCTTGTAGATTCACATGCTGAGTAGTGTAATTATATTATCGTTATATTATCTAGTCGGTCATAAATATTTGGAATGGTGAGAAACCCTAATTTAAAAACATGCAAGATCGTAAACATGCAAATATAGGATGTACGTAAATAAAGTAACGACAACTCAACGCGGGGGGACTTCAATTAAAAAGGGACTTCTAGGGCCAAATCCACCTATGTATAATCAACAACGATCTACAAATCCGTTATCTAAAATCACATTCCTATTCGTTAACTCAGACGCTAATGTACTCTAACCCCCGTCTCAAGTGTAGTGAGAGTCTACCCACAGGTCCGGCGTCTCCATTCATAACCTGCTATTAAGAGAGCATTTAGGTCAAGTCCTTAAGGGCTACCCGAAGTGCATCACGTCTCCGTTTCCACACCCCGAGCTATGTTTTCCTAACTTCAAACAAGAAATCCTCTCTCGAGTTCATTCCTATTTAATATCAATCCGAGAGCTGATCAAACAATCAGAATCATTTAATACAGGAAAACATAAACGAAATCAAAACACGACAAATAGATAACAAAAATGACGATCGAAATAAATATATACAAGGCTTCATTACCCTAGAAGAAAATGTTCTTAGTTCATAACAAACATAGAGTCAAAAGAATGTACAAAGGAAATGAAGAACAGAACGTAAAGAAATTGCGTAAGAAAAACCCAAGTCGAAACCCCCGTTGATGATTCCCGCGAAGAACTGTCGAAAACCGTAAAAAGTCGAAGAAGAAGGAAGAATGAGGGCTTGCTTCTATTTATAGTAAATTGCAAAGCTTCCTCAAGAAGCTTTGCTTTTGAAAATATCTGCCCTCGAAAATCGTGCCAGATCGCGATCCAATAAAGTCAGATCGCGATCTGGCTTCTCATAAAAACGTGAACCGCCATCCCAGATCGCGATCCAGGAAGTGCGGATCGCGATCTGCCCCAAAATCTCGATGCTACTGGAATTTTTCACCAGATCGCGATCCGATGGGTCTGAAATTGCTTGCTACTGGAATTTGCATCCAGATCGCGATCCGAAGTTCCTGGATCACGATCTGGGTCGTAATGACCACTTTCTCGGCTTGAATAATCGGTTTCACTTCCAAATGGCTTCGACTTGGCAAAAATAGCTAACAAAACCTAAAAAAGGAAATAAAACAAGAAACGCGATAATATATACAAATAAAGCCGAAACTCGGACGGACGAAGACCAAAATTCGAAGATTTGATAAGCAAAAATCGTGCAAAACGAACACTTATCATCATTCAAGCTATGCATCAAAGTCAACCACGAGGATCTTCTAAAGATATAAAGTGGATGTTGTTCGTCAATGAATTTATAGGATATGACTCATACGAGCATAACTCGTCAATCGGATTGATATTTTCTTTTTCACAATATAACAACCTTTTGAAAAACTAGTCCAATGCAAATTTATAGTGCATATTAAACATATATGTTGAGTTAATTTGAATATTTTTATTGGTGTATAATATATTTAAATATGGTAACGAGAATTGATTTTCTTTTTTTAGATTTCGACATAAGTTTTGCAACGGATTCAATGAGGGATATATCTCTCTCTACGCTGAATGTTGGCCTCAATTAGTTACGGATTTAGCAATGGAATTAGTGACATATGTATGTAGTATAGCTACAGAAATTTAGCGACGGAACCTAATTGCTTTCTAAAAGTCAAAAAAACTTCAATTTGTTGACCATGGTTAGTGACGCCATCATTTTCATCAGCGACGGATAGTTCTGTTGCAACCATTAGCAACGAAAATAATGCAGTTGTAACTCAAATTTAGCGACACGGCTTTTTTCTACAGACGTGGCGAGGGAGCATTTCCGTCGCTACATTACAATTAGTAACAGTTTAATGGTATTTAGCGACGGATTTGTCCGTAGCTAAATGGCGATTTTCTAGTAACCAATAAATTATTATAGAGAGAAAAAAAAAACAATTATAGCATTAGTTCTAAAAACGCTATGTTTATATGCTATGAAAAACCACTTTTGTTGTAGCTATGTCGATTTTGGAAAAATTCATATGAATAAAAAACCGGTTCGGCGGGTTGAACAATTCCAATAATATATTCTTCATATTTAATAATTTATTAATGTGATAATATTTTAGACATTTGATGATGCAATTTTCATCTTCAAATTATTTCAAGTCACCACCTAATATTAAAAGGAAAAAAACATAAAATAATTATATATAAAATATCATAGACACCCTTAAAAAAATACATTTTGTGAAATTAAATTTTTCAGTCCACCACCACCACATTATTCATTCCTCCAGCTCAGATGACCCGCTTCTTTAATGAGAAAAGATTATGTTATTGTGTCACCATCATATCTTTTAACTTTTTGTACATAAAATCTTCGTTGAGATTAATATTATAAAAAAAATAAAAAAATAATAAAAATAAAAAAAAACCCTTAAACAATTACACTCTTTCGACATCTTATGAAACATGTCATCAAAGTTAGTCCAACCAGTCCTAGGATTTCCCCAATAATTAGACAAAGGAAAAAAAATTGAACTTACCCAAAAATGATAAACAAAATTGATAGAAAACGAATCAAAACCAACCTCCCTACAATTGTGTGTGTGGGGCGCACCTAATTGTGTGCACGTATCAGCTAAGGGGCTGAACGAGCCGAGTCGAGCTCGGCTATTTTAACAAGCTTGAGCTCAAGTTCGAGCCAGCCAAAGCTCATTTCGGCTTCTTATTAAATTTGATGAATGCAGTATTTTGATCTACATAAACACCTTTGCCAATGTATTTTTACATGCTCTTCTTTCTGTTATTAAAGTAAGTTGTTAACGCAAAACTAAGAGCTCATAAAAATATAATAATTCAATAACACTACTCTCAGCCAATTCACGTGCAAATCACGGGCAATCAAGTGCAAACCGCGTGCAAGTCTCGTTCATGTTACGTGATTATGTGTTTGACATGCAAATTCATACTTATTTTTCTGAACGAGCATTGTCAAGAATGAATACTGATTCAAAATAAAAAGAAATATGATATTGTTTAATACTAATTCTTTAATTTTATGTATAGAGAAATAAACTGAAATATATAGTATGATAAACGTTCTGGAGCCGGATCGGCACGTTCCGATTGTGCCTCTTGTCATTAAAGAGAAATAAACTGAAATATATAGAATGACTCACTATTATAACTATTTCTTTTTTGGCTAACCCATATCCGAGCCATGCAAGCCCGGTCAGGGTTAGGCAGCATATTAATTGGATGGGCACAAATTCATTGTTGCGGGTCTTAAATGCTTCAATCTGTCAATATATAATTATCGAAAAATAAAAATATGTCAATATATATAAATAAAACAAGAAACTAAAAAAAAAATTAATATTTATAATAAACAAAACATAATATTTTCTGAAATTTAAATGCATACCACATTCTTAATTGGTGCCCCAAATACAATCAGCGAGAAAAAAGTTGCCACCCACCCCACAATCTTAATTCGGAATATAATTTTATTTTGCAGTGTTATGTACGTGACAATAATTGTCACAAATACAATAACAATGCCTAGGCCCACAAATTTCCCAACTTTCATCTACAAAAAGTAAATATTTCAGATCATTAATAGTTACAATTAAGTGTATTTTCAAGAAAAAATAAATAAATAAAAAATACTTACTCTAATTGTTTTAGATGCATAATAGAGGTACATCAATATATAGATGCACTCTATAATACAGGCGACTATATTAATGTAAATAATAGGCTTTGTTGAGCCTAATAGACCGTAATACATCCATAACATGGATGAGAAAAATGCAACAATGTAGGGCATGAATGTATGCCCTACCGTTGATTTTTCCTTATATATTCTTCTAAATGTAAATCTGCAAAACAAAACACACATATTAGAATTTGTTAACGAAAATTAAATATATTTTAACACAATATAAAAGTTAAATACACTTTCATTGGAGCGAGGTAGACCATCAGTGACATAAAACTTCCTAGATATCCAAATACCTGTAAAATGGAAGATTCGATTAGTAGAGTATAATGAATTAAATAAAGAAAATGTACTATATTTAAATACCTACCACAGCTTTTATCGGTGCCGCGAATACCACAAATGAGAAAATAGTGGCAACCCATCCGACTATCGAACTTCTAAACTGGCCGTGGGTTGTGAAATATGTGACAATAATTGTCACAGATATCACAATCACGCCAAGGCCAATTATCTTCACAATTTTTATCTACAAAATACAACGAACATAGATTAGTTTTTACAATGTTTTAAAATATTTATAAAAAAAAAAAGACCAAAATTACGATATACTTACCCTAATATTATATGGTGCATAATAGTAGTATAGAGATATATAAACTATTTCGATTATACACCCGAAGAGATTTATGGATATTATTAGACCATTACGGTCTAATAATCCATAATAAACCCAAAGGGTAGAAGAGAAAAACGCAACCGGTAGGGCATAAATGTATGCCCTCCGGATGATTTTTCTCTCCAATTTTTTCGGAATGTATATCTGCAAAAAAAATATATGTATATTAGCCTTTATCAATAAAAATTAATTTTGTTAAAAGAAATACAAATCAGATATAAAACCTTACATAGGAACGAGATAAACGATAAATGACATTATGTTCCCTGTAAAAAAAAATGTAAATATTCATATTCAAAAAATAAATAAATACAAACTTACGATGATTAACAAAATTTTGTACCTAATATCCCGAAAATCAATATTTTCTTATTGTTGTAAATTGCTATCGAGAGAGTGTGTGTTAGCGAGAGAGTGAGTTGTAATTAATGGACAATTTGAGAGAGAGAGAGAGAGAGAGAGAGAGAGAGAGAGAGAGAGAGAGAGAGAGAGTTATGATAAAAATAGTGGCAATTATAAAAATATATAGATACACACGTCATTTACTCATCAGTTAATTATTTATAAAAATAGAAATTATGATGGGTGAACTTTCACACAGATATTAGAGTAAAAATGCAATGATTATGAAATGATTATGATAATAATAATAATATTATAATAATAATAATAATAATAATAATAATAATAATAATAATAATAATAATAATAATAATAATAATAATAATAATAAGCAAAAATGAGACAAAGTTGAACTTGCCCAAAAATTAGACAAAGGAAAAAAAAAAAATTGAACTTGCCCAAAAATGATAAACAAAATTGATAGAAAAAGAATCAAAGCCAACCTCCTACAATTGTAATAATAATAATAATAATAATTGTGTGCACCTTTCAGCTAGGGGGCTGAATTTAACAGGCTTGAGCTCAAGTTCGAGCCAGCCCAAGCTCATTTAACATTTCGGCTTCTTATTTATTTATTATTTTATCATTATTATTATTATTATTATTATTATTATTATTATTATTATTATTATTATTATTATTATTATTATTATTATTATAATAATAATTATTATTATTATTATTATTATTATTATTATTAT